GGGCAGGGGCAGGGGCAGGGGCAGGCGCAGGGGCAGGGGCAGGGGCAGGGGCAGGGGCAGGGGCAGGGGCAGGGGCAGGGGCAGGGGAGGGGCAGGGCAGGGGCAGGGACAGGGCCAGGGCAGGGGCAGGGGCAGGGGCAGGGGTAGGGGCAGGGCAGGGGCAGGGCAGGGCCAGGCCAGGGCAGCGGCAGGGGCAGGGGCAGGGTCAGGGGCAGGGACAGCGCAGGCGCTGGGGGCAGAGCCACTCATTTCGACGCTGCACAAACCAACCTTGAGTGCACCTTAGACGAATAAAGGAATGTGCCTTCGACGCAAACTGTGAGTGTATCGTAGACAGCACGCCCGTGTACGGGGACGGAAATGACTCGGCTACACCTCACACAATGCGGGAGTCAGCCGCTAGAAAGGACACCGAATTCTTGCCTTTTGTTTTTTTCTGGTTGTGGCTTGGGCGGTCAGTGGGGTACCTCCAACGGTGCGGGCGGGGCGACCTGGCAAATTTCAATGATCCGGGCGGTCCTAGACGGCGACCTCTAGGGTTTGGGTGGTGATGCAGCTGCTTCTGGCAGGCTTTCGGGGTTGTTACCAGGAAAAGTGAGAACACTTCGAGCAACCCTTACAGGGTGCGAGGGGTGGGTTGTCAGTTTGTTGGAAGCGCTTGCTTCTGGCCGCGAGGACCCATACCCGACACCAATCCATCTCAGCTGTGGCTTGCTGTGAAATGTGGTTTTTTATGTGTCGAATTGCGAGGAGAAGCAGAGAGCAAGAAAGCCCCCTTGAGGGGCGTTTGGGGGGTGAACCCTAAACCCTAATTAAGAATAGTTGGGGTGGTTGGGGCGGGACTACAAGCTGACGCAAGCGCGCGATAAGTGGGTACGCCCCTATTCCTAAAGTAAACGGCGCACCCACCGTGCGCACACTGTATACACACCCTAAACCCTTAAAGCCACGAAGCCCCGAGCCCTGAAGGACCGAGCGACTTTGGAAGCAGTTTGTAATTGGCATTAGGGTTCAGGGTTTAGGGTTGAGAGTGTAGTTTAGGTTACCCTTATATTGGAGTTCTCGAAAAGTAATTCCACACGTATAAGCTGCTTACGAAGTGCCCTTACCCGAAACCCTAAACGATAACTCCTGAACCTTAAACACAACCTGCAGCTTAAACCCTGAATCGTAACTTCTAAACCCCTTGTAACCATAGCCCGCTTCCCGAAAATCCTAGACCCTAAACCTCGAACCCCAAACCCTAAACCCTGAACCCTATAAGCCCTAAACCCTAAACCCTATAAACCATAAACCCTATGAGCCCTATAAACCCTAAACCCTCAACCCTATAACCCCTATAACCCCTAAAAACCCTAAACCCTATAAGCCCTAAACCCCCTGACATCCTCATCAAGGCGCCTGCCGGTTGAAGTAGAGGATGCTGAGGAGGACATGCCTTCGTTTAGGCTTAGGGTTTAGGAGTTCCGTGTTTTTTGTTTTTTTTTT